GAAATTATTACTAGCGACATTAACAATAGAATTGTCGTTCCATCTGACAAGGCTTAATTGTATATTTTCTTCGACTGCAAAATCATAGGCACCCCTTTCTTTTTTTCCAAAAGACTTGACATTTTCTAAAGGGCACTTATTTGTCCTATTATCTCTAATCATGCCTGTTGCAAAATATTGCATTTCATACAGTTTGTGAAATAATTTATGGGATAAAAAACAGTAAAAAATCCTGTAGTGTAGCGGATTTTCTAACGCAGTCAAAAGATCTAGAACTACTTGTCTTTCCAATCCATAAAGAAAATTGTCTTTCTCTGGGTTTGCTCCTCCGTACGGTATAAATGTGTAGAGGTATCCATCAGATGAACATAAACACCACAACTTAAATCCAAATCGAACGGGTTTTCCTTTTATGAACATCATACATGAATGCTTGCCAAAATATGGTACCATTTGTTTGTCAATAGCAAGGTTGTGGGAAAATATTCCAAATTGCTTGTAACGAATGGCCGCATTTTGGCAAATTTATCAGCTTTGTCTTCTAAATTTGTTTCTACTCATACATTTTCTTACAATATCAACTCCCTCGTCTTCATCTTTACTCCAATAAAGATCAGTTTGTGGTAAAATATGATGAAATTTTTTCAGATAGTTTTTGTTTAAGTCACTATCATAGATAAAATTTGTTCGTAAAAAAAATTAAGAAAAATATTTTTCTACTCCTATTACGGAATTTGACCGTTCTAATATCACTTTTATCTATGGAATGACATATATTCCGTAAAGTGTTACAGAATGAAATATTCTATCATCCGATGACAGAATAAACACTCGTGGCGACATCTCTGTTTTTAATATCTAACAAATTTTAGACCGATCCAACCTCACTTTCTTCCAATTAAATTATTTTTCTATGGTATTTTTTGGAAACGTAGAAAAAGTATGGTCTGAAACACGTTTGGAATTGCATATTCCGCTCGAGTGAAGAGTTGTCACACTAGCCGAAGGCGAGTTTGACGGTTTCACGAGATTGTATTCCAAACTTGTTACAGAATATACTATTTTAATGGTGTTTTTTCTTCCAAAGAGTCCTTTAGATTTTGTAAGGTTTTAGCTTCATTTGATACAGGTAAGCGAGTGTGCATTATTTCCTTTTTTTCCCACTTAGTTTCTTTTGACTTATTCACCCGCATTTTTAAAAGCTTTTTTCTTTTTTTTTTTGAAATAGGTTCTTCGTCTAATTCGTCATATGAATTATCGTCATTTACAACATCTATTTTAAATGTTCCGGCGATTTCCCTGTCAAGTGATATTTCATTCAATAATTCGTTTTCATCAATATTCTCCTCGTCTGTCAATTCATAAACCTCTGGTGGGATGTAGACTGCGTTCAATACCCTATTTCCGAAGAAAAAAAACGTTAAACGATACCACAACCGTAACATAAAAGGGTATCACTTACCAAGATCATCTTCCACTTCATTTATAATATCCTCCATTGCCTCTTCCAATTCTTTTTGCGTCAAAAACTTTCTTCCTGCCATTTTACTAGAAACCTCTTGTTTGCACTTTGCTCTATAAATTCCAACTGTTTAGCAATTAGTAGAACTAAAGAGGCGACACATTGATTGATGCACTTGCGCCGTTCGTATGTTTACTTTCCGTTACTTTATTGCGAAACACAACCTTTAAAAATTATTTAGTAGGTTGGTGCGTACACGCACCAATGGCCAAAAGTATGATCTATAAAATTTTAACTGTGCAAAAGTGCGAAGGTTGTAAAGTCTACGAAGCATACTTTGGCGTCCTTTTATTTATAAGTGCTTTTTAACATTAAACATTTTCTGTTAAGTTTTTGGCTTTTTGATCTTTTTCCAGTTTTTAAATAATTCATAGCACTTTTCGTACCGTTGCAACGCATTGTCTTAACTTTGTAGGTAACAAATTCATAGAAACATTGGTAGCTTCCTCTTTTTCAAATCTGATGAAGTATTCGTAAATTCTTCGTCACTCTCCGAGTTACCATTCATTTTCACTTTATTACAAAATTTAAATCAGGTTTTATTGTTATTTTGTACTTTCGTTGTCCGTTTTTATTTTGATTTACACAAACGTCTGAAATTCTCAAATGCCAAAATACATAAAGGTCAGTCAAAGGTGTCTAGATTGTAAAAAACTACAAAAATCAAGTTTAGCGGCCCTAGGGACGATATGAGTTTACCCTAGAGACAATAAATATTATTTTTGGTCATATTTTTACGTCTGATATGATTCATTTTTCTATGTGCTGGGCGAAAAAATATATTTAGAACCAAGTAGTTTTCGGTGATAAAAATAGTTAACCATGTTTATTAATTATTTTAGAGTGGTATCGAGGCGAGAAAAGGAGTATGAAATTTGCAGTTATAAGAATTTGGCGGGAACATAAAAACCATGTTAATGACTGATATTTTTGCCTAGTGAATCCAGATTAACGACGAGCATTAATGCGAAACCAATCGAATATCCTGACATTTTTTCCTCTTCTGCTCCAATTTTAAATTTGAAATAAAAATGTTGAATATGATGAAGAATTTTATCTCATTTTATTATCGCAAAAGACTTTAACCTCTTTAGAGATTTAAATTTGCCAAAAAAAAAGGCAGAAATTGTGGATTCTCGTTTCAAACAATGGAATTTGCTTGTCAAAATAACTGATCAACAAAACCGGCATGAGAAATTTTTAACGTTTTTCACAAAAGAAGATGGTTTTTGTTTCTGTAACGATATAAAGGGTTTATTTAAATAAATTGGGATACCTCGTATTCCTAGTGAGTGGCGTTTATTTATCGACAGCTCTAAGAAAAAGCTTAAAAGCCGTTTTACTACACAACGGAAATAAATTTCCATCTATTCCGGTCACTTAAAGACAACTGCAGGCTTTAAAATATCAATAGTATAAGTGGCAGTCCATAGGAGATTTTAAAGTGGTAAGATTTTTAATGGGATATACAAAATATGCACCGAGAAAAATCTGAGATTTAGAATTTACCAACGACTGTTTTCACGAATAAAATTAATAAATAAATTAATTTGGGTATTACCAATAGAGTCTTTGTATAAGGTAAATTAGAATTTACAGATTAACAATAAATATATGTATAGGATTTATGCTAACACAGCGTTTCTTATATATAATTTTATTTTTATATTATTAGTTAATCAACGTAATTGTCAAACAGTAATTGTTTGAAATATCGGAAGTATATAATGCATTTAATTTAATCAATTTTTATTAATAATAAATCCCCAAGACTCTCGCGCAAGCCTTCTCGCATGGATATTTTTCTCTTCTTGTTGCACAGTGGAAGCCGCATAAGAGAAGCCTCTATAGAAGTTCTGTTTTTTGCGTGAGATTGTATCTTATCTGCTTATAATATAGTTTACTTGTTTATATATTACTTTATCTAATCTATGATATCGTGATTGTGTGGGCTGAGGTGTAATGGAAGAATTGACAAACTTTTTAAGAGGCATATATGTTTGACATATACGGTTTGCCCTCCCTGTTTCCGGTTTTTGTTGGTAAGTATATAAGTAGTATTATATTATGATGGCTTGGCCTATTGCCCTCGATGTTTTTTTACCGAAAGTTATCAAATAAATACAAATCTTTTTCATTGGCTTTAGCTATGGCTTGTAATTATTTTTTAACATACCTATATTTATTATTAACATACTGTTTTAAATAGTAATAAAAAATGTATAGTTAATATCCATCCTTTACTTCTTTCTTGTTTATTCATATATAGAACTGCATTGAGGACATCAACAGTCTGTAACAATTAGTGGTTCACGAAGAGGAAAGTTTTAAGGTGTTATGTCCAATTATTGGATATTTAAACTGTTATGGTACAGCGGAAGTCTTAACTGTTGATACAATATTCACAGCCGAGAATCATAACATCAGAACAAGCATAAATACGTATTTTATTCTATTTTCCATTAGTCCCGTGGGGGAGGGGGTTCTTTAATACCTATACTAAATTAGTATTAGTATTACTAATACATAATATACAAATTGAGTATATGCAAATAAACAAATTTGGTATTTACGAATATTCTTACGTTTAATAATAACAAATTTGGTTCACTACAAAAATTAAATAATTTTCTTTATTAATATAACATTCGTTAAATATAAATAAATTGGTTTTTTCATAAACCATTATCTATTTATAACCTTTATAACAAATGACAGAGTGATATAAAACCAATACTTTTTAAATACCAAAATACCTTCAAAAATTATAAAAGTTATTTTTAGATATATAGTCAATTTCATATTATATGGAAAATTGACTTTATCTTAAAAACTGTTCTACTTTTATCTCTTTTCTTAAATATTCTAAAAACGTCCTCCTGTCTTCAAAAGCCGTCCGCAGGACTACGATTTAAATTTATCAAGAAAATATAATAAATTTTAAAATATAACTTTAAATTTAAATTTTTAAAATAATTACTTCTGCACAAGTGTTATTTTCCATACATTCTTTCAAAAATTCGTTTCTAAACTCGAGAAACAGATGTTTATGGCTTAGACATTGATTATCACAGTATATTTTTTTAAGTTAATCTCAAAAAACATTTTTTAGCACTTTTTAAAATTGTAATTTAAAATTTCGTGCTGACAACTTCAGAAACAAAGAAATATGACCGTAACAGCAAATTAACAATTTATATTCTTACTTAAGTAACAAAAATAACAAGTTGGTATGTTATTTTTAGTTTTAAATGATAGTTTAGATGGTAATAAACTAGTAATTTTGCAATTAAAAATAAAAAATACATCGTTTTTTTAATACATTGGCACCGCTGGATTAGCTGTCAAAAATCTTGTATCCATTTTGATTAAAAATGAAATCGACAGTATTACTTTTTGATCGTCATGCCTAAATATATTTTGATATATTTATACAAAATAATTATTTGTAAGAACTAAATATTTTTTTAAGACATACCAATAATGTAAATGGTGTAATAACTGCCCAACAAGCCCACCAATACCATTTCGCAACTTTTCCCATTGTCATATCCATGGAAGCCATATTGTCCATAAATCTATGACAACCATAACACCAAGAAACAGCAACAACTTCGGTAAAACCAATTAGAAGAATAGCCCAGGAGGCAGTATTCCACTCTAGGAGGGTAAAAATATATACACCACCCCCAAAACACATGGGAATTGCAAGAAGAAAACAACCCAAGCAAATTCCAAGCGTTAAATATGCCTGATAATGCCTTGTTTTTGGCCATTTGTCCATAATCAGGCAACTAACAGCTTCCACTCCGGCAAACTGACTGCCCAAGCCAAGAATGAACAACATGAAAAAGAACGCTATCGACCAAAATATAGGGGCTGGTAGACGTAGAATAGCTTCGGGATATATAACAAATGCTAAACCAGGACCATCCTGGGCTACTGCATCGACAGGAACGCCCATTTGTTTGGCTAAGAAACCTAGCATCCCAAAAATGGCAAAACCGGCATATATCGAAGTAAATGCATTTGCTGCTGTGACAATTATAGCGTCCTTTAAACAGTTGTTATTAAAAGTGTTGTATGAAGCTAGAGTAATTAAGGACCCGCAACTGATACCAAAGGAGTAAAACGTTTGCGATGCCGCTTGCGCCCATACGTCCACATCTAATAGCATCCCCCACTTGGGCGTTATATAAACGAGAATTCCATCGACTGCACCTTCCAGTATACATCCTTGTACAACGAGGGCAGTAAGAATTACGTACGGGAATAAGGCCGTAAAGTAAGCGGCTTTTCCTGAGGTTTTCACGCCCCTGATGACGCACAAATATCCTATTATCCAGGATAACAGCAGACAACCGAACAGCGCCCAACTGATCGAGCCAAAGTTGTACCAATCCGCGTCCCTTACGCCGAGAACGTAGTCTCTAAAATACTCGGCGGTTGCGAGTGTTCGATTAACTACTTTATAGACGGGAACAGCTGACTCGTCTGTGGCATAGCAGAAGGTTTTGTTTAAAGCACCTTCGTAATGTTTGCTTTTACATAAGACATCAACAAGCATGCAGGTTTTGTTGTAGTACAGTTCCATTGGTTTGCATTTGTCGTCTTCTGTTGCGCTAAAACAACCTTAAAAAAGTGCGATTATTAAAATTTATAAAAAACATCAAGTAACTTTTTATATTAATAGTAATAGGAATTTGTAGGTACTTTACGTCAGCATGCGGGTTGATGGAGAGGGGGGTTGGGGATTTAAATTCTTATGATCACGTCATAATTTTTCTCCCACGTCAAACATCGGAAAGCTAGATTTTGAAAAAAAAATTTTATTTAAAATAGTTCAAAATAGGCTGTTGGCTATTTGTCATATTATCTGATAAATAAAAAATATTGAAATGAATATTTTCTAGATATGTGAAAATAAGAAAAAATATGATAACGTTAACAGGGGTGGGTTGCTCGCTGATAACTATTAATAATGGGGTTCAAAAATCGGCAAATAGGTGCTGACGCAATATATGGACGATCCCTAAAAAGTATTTTTTAATGGCTATAATTTTAATTTTAAAGACTTGATATTACCAAACTTTTTTGATACACTACTTCTCTAAATAGCTCCGTTACATACTTTTTCAAAACAATATAAAAAGAAAGATCGATGAAAATTAATCCAATAGTCTACTTTTTACAATTCAATAATTAATATTAACTATTATACTATCGTGCTAGGCACAGAGGTCGTAACTGCTATTTTTCTTAAAATAAGTTAATATAATAAATAAATAATAAATAAATAAATCTTTATTTGCCCAACAGAAATTCCAATTACAGGACAAAAAGAACATAATAAATGAGATACATTGTTCCTTAAATATAATCAACTATAATATTATAATATTTATATATAAATAAATCAAACATAACTTTACAACATTTAAGTAATTCTTGGTATGTACTAGTACCTATTAATATCACAATTGGGCGAAATCACATTAAAGTTATTTGACATTACTACTAGTGGCGACTTTGAATGAATGTACGAGAGAAGTTACAATAAAAAACCATCCGGTTACGGGAGCTTAATCTGGGAATATAAAACTGCAACTGAGATAAGAGAACTGGAAAATCCACAACACCGTGCACAAGCTTTGATAAATATACAACGGAAAAAGAAAACCTACGCTCATCAAGGGCCTGGACATTAAATCTATTAAGTAGCTCCCGATGATCGCAGCCCCTCCTTGGATAGACACCATCAACTCTAAACGACATAAATTTCATAAACCGCCTCTGAATTTTTTCGAGTTTAATTATGTTAATTTGATAATATGGACACCATGCTAGGGATGCATATTCCAATCTACTTCTTACAAGAGAAAAGTATAAAGTTTTGAGAGAAGCGAAATTAGAGAAACTGGTAAAATTACGAAATATGAATCCCAGCATGCGAAGAGCAGACGCGCATATGTTACCTACATGTTCAAGAATCTGATTATCAATTTGGTAATCAAAAATTACGGGATTGGTTTTTAACGTGTATGTGCACACTTTACATTTTTGGATATTCAACCCAAGTTTGTTAGTGTTACACCACTTTTCTAATAGCTTCAATTGGTTTTGTAAGTTAACACAGTCTTCAAAGTTATTATTCTAGGCATAACAAACATAACATTTTATTTAAGAAATATTTCGATAATTTATACAGTTCATAAGCGTATCATTGTAGTTACGGTTAAGTTTGCGATGTACAAAACGTCTTTTCTTTATAATAAACTATGTAAATATTTTAACCCTGCATGCAGGAACTCAATTATTGAAAAAATATAGTACTGGATAAATTAAGGGAAAATTTAAAAACTTACAGTAAAAATACCCCGTTTCAATGACAATCAGGGCAATTTACTAATATAAGACGTGGTTATCGTAATATTTAATCAACGTGATTGGCCGGATTCGACAATAACCACTGATCCTAGTGGCTAACGTTAACGACCTATGTTAGTGAATTGGCCTGAATGTTTGTAACGTCAAAGAAATAAATTGGTAACAATCATTTTACTCCTCTTTTGTAAAAAATAAACCTTATTCTGGTTGTGTTCCGTAATTTACTGCCATTACTGTCAGTAATTTTACTGTCAGTAGCGGAAAAGGACCGTTCCGTATTTTATTCAGTACTGATGCACAGTGAAATTGGAACGCGCCTCAGTAGCAGCAGAAAGTGACAATGGTTACGCAAGGTTATGATTTGTAATTTACTGACAATTGACAAACTTTACTTTCGGCACAGCAGAGAACATAAATAAAATTTAATATAACAGTTATAAAAAATATAATGGTTGGTTTATGGCAGAGAAATATGGAAAATTTAATGTTATCGTCGTCCGCGTCGAAAAATGTATATAGGAATAGAAAATATAAAATTTTACTGACACCACAACAATAAACCAAATACCAAAAATTACTCTTAAATTCGTCCGCTGAATACAAATATATAACATTTTCTAGGTACTACCTATAGGTAGTACTATAGTAGGTAGTTTCATATTCTGGGTCTTCGTATGCGTACTCCCCTCCGACCTGCCTTCGTCACTGCTGCTTGTACTTTTAAGTAATATTTTATCAATAAATATTGAAATAATTAGTCCTATAGGTATTATAGATATAATGTATATCCTCCACTTTATTTGACAGCTATTTTTTGTTTAAAAGTTTGGTTATGTGTTTTACTGGAGCCACAGCACCTCTCTTTCACCAGTTGTTTCAGTAAAATTAATCTGCCGTACATTTATAAAAGGGTAGTATATACCACTGAGCTCAGTAACTAAAAGTAGATTTCGGAATGCGTTTTCAGTACTGACAGTAAATTACGGAACATAGCCTCTATCAAGGCTGTTAAATGTCAATTTTAAGGTTATTTTATAACTCACAAATTAACCTTTGACAGCCCTGATTGAATGATTGTTCTTACCACTTTGAGGTGTCTTTTAAGGCTTTTGTTGTGTCTTTGGTACTAAAATTTATAATTTATTGTTGTTTAAATATTGGTGTGCGCGTATTTATGTGTTTATTGTTAGACTAGTTGTTAATTGTTATTGTTGTCATATATTATTATTGTTGTGGTGGTTGTCAAAATGAAATAAGTATTACGAAATTAAAATAAAGAGTTAACGAAAATCTGAGTATAAATAAACGGATATAAAAGCTTGCAAGTCTCTCTGTAAGAAACACAACGTTTAAAACGATTAATAATCTGTACAAACCCAAAGCACAAGAATTCTAAACTATAAAAATGGCAGTGCAGTGTTGCAGTGATTTTTAGTATTTTTAATACGAGATCGAACAGACCTTGTTGTGTGGATTGTGATATTAACATTAAATGTATTGTGTTGGCCCGACTTTTAAAACTTATAAAGAAAGTGACAATTAACAATATGTACTTGATAAAAGTCAAGTTAGGGTTATAAAAACGACGTTGCCACATTTTGGATACATTTTTTTGTCGGGAAATTTGAAATATTTGTTCTATCGAGTCAAAGCCTTATTATGGATAATTTTAAGGTTCGGAGTAGATTCAGTTTCCTCTTTGAGATTTTTAAAGTGTATAGGAAAGTCGCATAATTTCAAGTAGGCGCCTTATTTCGGATAGTGGTTTATCTTTGAAACTAATCAAATCATTAAACGGAAATTGACTCTAATGCAATCTAAAAAGTCCAAGCAAGCATATCCAGTGTTATTTAGATGATACTAATCACTTTCCGTTTCGTAGTTTATAAATATTCGTTGTAAAAATTTGTATTTTTTACCTGGACAAGGTAAATGTTTGTTTAAGACATTGTATTTGTCATCAAAACCACGAAATTTTTTCAATGATTTTATTTAAAAAAACTTAACGCAAAAAGTAGAAAGTTGCATAATTTCAAATGGTTTACGTTTCTCAATTTCCCCTATCCGAAATTAGGAATCCAAAATTATGAACCAAACAAATTCCAACATTTAGAGTCGCCTAAGGAATATAATGTTTACATATGTGACTTATGCATGGACTAATAAATATGTTGTTACTAAAAAAGTTTTTTTAATTTTGGATAGGGTGTCCGAAATTGGGAGCCCAATTTTAAATTTGCAAAATTCGCAATTACTACAAAAATCTCATTTTTTGTAATAAAAATGTTTTGATATTAAAACTTGTTTTTTGCAATGCATTGTATAACTAGCCAATAGATAAAGCATTACAAAAATTATGTTATCTAAATAATTTTGATTATTTTAAAAAGGTATCTGAAATTAGGCGACTTTTCTCTACCTTGCTTAAACGTAAACAAACCTTTAACCAACCCAAACCCAACAACCCAAACCCAACAACCCAACCAACCCGCTTCAGCCTCCCCCCGCCCCATTGAGCAAAAATTCATTTAATTACATAGGTATATAACTAAATATGATTATAAGGAAGGGTAAATAATTTAAAATATTAATGTAAAATTAAATATCAATGCTTTTAAGACCACATTGTATTATTTCGCTATATAAATAAAAATAAAAATAAAGTTGTAGAGGCGCCAAGTATCGAACCCGGTATCTCTTGCATGCAAAGCTCTTCCATCTGAGCTACCGGGCTTATTGTAAATATTTTATCGCTCGGAAAATAATACCGTATTACAATTACATTTGGCAACGTCGGTATGCTTTGGGCGAATTAAGCTTAATTTTCATGTATCCGTTTGTCCGTTATCCGTTTGTCCGTTATTCAATAAATATTTTAATGACGTTTAACGGATTGATTTGACGACAAATAGAAATTAAGTCTCAGTATATTAACTTTACTAAATTTACCTAATGCTTAATTGTAATAGTTACAATTATGTCAACAATTGTAACTTTAAGTGAGGATTCACAATGGACATAACCATAAAAGATACATAATGAAATCATAAATCATAACCATAAAATTTACATAAAACCCAAAGAGCGTTCACAATGACCATAAAAATTGACATGTTGAGCATGTCAAACTAATGTCATTTTTTCGAACATAAACTGATAAAATTTGTGAATTGTGTTTTTAAAATGAGTGAGACTGAAGAATTGTTATTATTGTTACTACTAAGACGACGATGCCAAGAACTCCA